AACGTGACATTAAATTTCCAACTGCTGGTGGAAATGGTCCAAATCAACTGATTCCACCAAATAAGACAACAAAAAAAGCAGATTGCTAATCCATCTGGTCCAAAATTACAGCCATACAGTAAGGCCAAGACTTGTTTTGACTTGGATTTGAAAGACTTTGCCCTCCACTTCATGCCACCTCCTCGCAGTAGCCCAATTCCCCAGGGCTATTGTAAAACCTACACTTCAAGTCTGGGGATCACCAGGATGCAAGAACAGTGCCAGCTGAGATGTACAGAAGATTACCCCTCTAGATCTAGTCTCACTAAACAAATAAAGCTCTTGAGGTAGGTTTCTAGTCTCTCAAAAAAAAAAAAAATAAAACCCAAACAAGGTTCAGAAGCCAAGTGCCAGCACTGATATTACCTTTAAAGAAATGCACAGCATGATGGAGACTTGCCTACATCAGGATCTCAAACGGGTGGCAGCTCAATTGTAATATCACTTATGTGCACCCATCACCCCTCCCCTTCCTTCCTAGCTCAAAATTAATTCCATCAACATGAAAACAATTCGACTTAATTGCAACTGCATCATCTTCTGCAGGATCCCACTGCCAATCCTGCCATCTGAATGTGCAGTTGCCAAGGCAACGGGTGTGAAGAGCATGTTTTTGTGCTGCCACATGCATGTGAGCTGTGCCAACACCCGAGCTCCCGCAGCTGGGCTGGATTTAACACCTTCCTCCCCGGGAGCAGCCTGTCCTTACTTCCACTGCAGGGTTATGGCAGCCAGCCCTTGGCAAGCAGCTACTCCTCCTCTGCAGATCGACACCTGCACGGGAGGGACAGATGGCTGCAGCTCAGCTCAGCGGGATCAAGCAACAAGGATGCTGGAACAACTCAGCCCAAACATGCAGCAGTGCCAGACTCCATTTGGAGGAGGTTCAGGGTACACAGTTCATCGTGTACATAATTAATGAGGAAAGAAAAAATCCTTTGCCACCATTTAGGAATGTTGTTCTGACAGTTTCCCATCTACCTGTTGTTCCCCGTTCATCTATTTACAACGCACAAACAGAAGTTTGCATCACATCTGGAGGATTACATGGTCTCTGCCTCGCCAGCTTAAAGCTGGAAAATAGGATTAATGTGTACAGAAACCTTGCCTTCACTCTCTCTGATTACCTTCCAGGGCACAGCGCTTCCCATAGTTCAGCTCTTAATACTTTTCCTAATTCTTTAAGGTGAAGGGTTTAAACTCAGGCCAGAGCCTACTTTGCCTATGACCTTTTTCACCACTTCTGAGTCTGCAAGGCTTAAGGTCTTCTATAAAAATTAAGGTGCCCTGCAACCATATACACAGGTACATTTAGCAAAGAAACAGCTGACTTAAAACTTTTCCACAGATAATGAGCTGTAGCTGAAGATCACAAGCTAAATATGCTTTTAATGGCACGTAAAACTATTTGTAACAATGGCAAACAGCCTCTCTGGTGCTGCACTCGTGTGTAATCACAGCTAATTACAGCTTACAAAAGTGCCTGTTAAAATGATCACCAGTGTAATCTAGGAAGCCCTACAATCCTCGAGTAGCCCTGTACAAAGCAGGCAGGGAGGGCATGTCTGAAAGTCACCACTGAAGGTCATGGTTACTTGGCCTGCCTGTGGAGGGCAACATCCATGGTGTTAAGGCCTAGGATGGGACAGACACATAAGCAAAAGAAGCCAGTTAGGATTTATTTCATCTTAGTGCAAAGCCCTCTCACAGCCCTTTTCTCCTACAAAGCATCCCAGAGAAGCACAATGAATAAGCAAGCTGCAAGACACTGGTGCCTGGATCACACAACCTGCGACCTGAAACTGCCTTTGCATTCCTGTCAATGCTTGAGGAACATAAAAGGATGTGTGAGCTCCCTCAAAGCTCAGCAGAGGCTCATTACCACTCTTTGAAACACATTTCCTCACCTGTCAGATTCAGGCGTGTTCCACATACACCAGCGTTTCCAGTACAAACACAAATGTTACACCACACAGAGCTTTGCAACTTGTGCTCACCTACAGTTGAACAAGAGTCAATAACCACCAGCAGAGAAATGTGAACAATTCTGGGCATAGACAAGGGAACAGAAGCCAAAACTTCAGCTGTCTCAGCACACGACAGCAACCTTTGCAGAATAAGTAATATTTTGAAGAAGAACAATAATTAGATTCTACAAAGCTTGGGGAGTGAGGAGGAGAGGTGGGCAGGGACCCTTATATTGATTAAGCAAGAGCATTGCTGTCACCTCATATTTTTGATTGGAAAGAAGTGGTTGAAGGGATTAAAAAAGCATGTTCAGATCTGAAAAAGAGATCATTAAATCAAGAGCCACACTCCAGAAGGGAGTTGGGGGCATGGAGAGGGGATCTGGCACTATATACAGGGGCTGTTACACTTTGTCACACGGAAGGCAGCAATGTCACTAGACTGCACTGCTAGGAGTCCACATCACTCTGCCATGCCAGCTCATGGCATTGCCCTTTAATGTCCACTCTCCCCCAGCTCTGGATTCTCCCCAGGGCCCATCCTGGCAGATATCCCAGGGTGTGATGAGCTGTCATTCTGCTCCATGCCCCGAAACTGTTCTTGCAGTGCATGGTCGTGCAACTGCTCAACCCCTGATGTGGTGCCAGGACACCTCCCTGCCCTGCAGGCACCACTGGACTCTGACACAAGTCCCAAACATAAGCAGATGTCTCTGGTCTTGTTCACAGTCAAACAAAAAAACAGGGTTAGACTGCAGCAATGCAGCTACAGAACAGACAGAGGAATTAAATGATGAAGAGCATTATCTCTGAGGGGCATTTAACACAGGTGTTCTTACACCTGACAGCCAAGCTTTTCATGATGCTCATTCCACAAAATTTATGAGGACTGGGATACTGTTAAATATTCTGAAGGGCTTCGTGGACCACAAATCCTGTGGAATAAAGAAAATTAATGCAAAATCTGTAAAGGTAACCCAGATTAAGTGCCCAGGCAGGCAGACATGCCCCGAGCCTCCTCTACCTTCCAAAGGAAGGTAAAATCTTCTTAGACAGCTAGAGAGGCAGTGGAAGTTTCAAATCAGCATTTGTAAATATGAGGATTTTTTGGCTTCTGAGACAATGTATTGTTTTCCACGAGTTAGAAGCAAAGAAGAGCTGGTGCTGCCTCCAGTGAAGGTGCAGAGGTCAGAGCTCCTGCATTCACTGGCACCCCAGTCCCTCACAGTGCCGTGGATACATCACCAACCTGCTCATCCCACACTTCCCAGTTTGGAAAGTGGGGGAGACACTGGCTCTGTTTATTCCTACATGCTCTATCATTACAGCACACAGCATCTTATTTCCTGGAATTCTCACTTGCATGGTGATAATCACACCTGAAAGCACTGGAAAATTGGTGGGAAAGTGGAAAATGGGACCAATGGCACACAGTGTTTCTAGGAACACGGGGCAGGTTCTCCACCTCCAGCCACGGATCTGACCTTTGGCACCCGTGAGTTAATCAAAGACAGCAGTGTCCCTTTCTGTGGCCTGGACACAAGAGGGTTTTCTTGGGAAGCAGTTCAGCAGTCCTGTCACACGGTGTCTTTCTGTGCTGTCTTACTGAACAAAAACCAGCTCTGTCTTTCCGGAAAACAAGGGTGCACTCACAGCCCTTTCATAAAGAGAAGATGCAGATGAAAAGCAAAACCGGGGCTTATAAAACAGAGGGTCAAGTAAGAGAACTAGGAAAGCACATAAGACTCATTCTGTAGGATCAGACTATTATTGTCCTTTGTGAGTAACTAAAGAACACTGTTTATCTCTGCAGCAAGCTTATCCACTCTTTCCCCACATGCCTGCCAGCCCTGGTTGGAGGATCACTGCTGTTTGTTTAACACTGACCAAGATGTCCTTGGGATTTCATACCTTTCACGAGGTCAGTGAAAAAAAAAAAAAAGAGATAAACCCGGGGTTTAGTAAAAATAGGACAGACAAAATATCCATTGAGCAGAGTGACTGTCATTCCTGAGTATTTTCATCCCATGCTGAGCAGGACCACCACACAGAGGCAGTGTTTGCCTCAGAAAGGGGTTAGGAGAGGTGGCTGAGGACATCCCAGGGCCAGCTGAGATAGCAGGGGGCAAGAGGCTTCTCCTGCCTCTTGGCAGGACACAGCTGCCCCCAGCCCCACTTCAGCCCAGCAGAGGGAGAGAAACTCCAGGGAAATCACAGGAAAAGAGCAGGATTTGTTTTGACACTAATATCAATGGGCAGGAAAGTTGTCCACTAATGGGTGGGGTTATCTTTCTTTTCTTTTTTTCCCCCTCACAAACAAGCAGGTTTTTCCCCATAGAAAATTTCAGAGGGTTTGTGTCTTGTGTTACTGCTTTTGATCTGAGTGATGTGGAGCTGATTCCAAAAAGGAGAATCCCTCAGCTCTGCACGAGGTTCTAAAAGCCTGCAAAATCAGCCATTTACAAATCCTTCCTCATGGCCTGAGCCTTTCTAGACAGTTCTGATCAGCCCCTTCGTGATGTCCCCCACAACAGGTAGAGACTGCTGTCCCTCTGCACTGGTGTGGAGGAAGCAGAAGAGTGGGAAGATGCTGACCTGGAATGGTACAGAAACAGTGGGAGCACTTCCCTGTTAAGATGTCAGTAAAAGTGGCAAATAGACACAAGTATTTTTGTTTGCTTACAGACAATAGCTGTTCATTTGGAATACAAAACCCCTGGTGTGTAATTGAGGTTTTATACAAGTCAAAGGCAAAATGCACAGTAACTTCAGCATAGCCATGCAGAGATCAGAGATGATATCCATCAATAAAGGAAAACTCTCCACTCCCTCTGGGTAAAATTTGCTGCTAAGGTTTCACCAGAACCAAACTGAAACACAGCCAAGGAAGAGGATGTCAAGTCCATGAAAGAACAAAGGTTTGCTCAGACACCTCTTGGTGGAGGTGTCTCTACTGGAGGAGACAGTAGGAGTGAAAAAACATTCATCAGTTACCTTTGGGCGCTTCCATTCAACTTTCCTTGGTGGTGCTGACTGATAGAAAAGGGATCCATCTGAGGCTGGAAACTCAGGATCTTCGAAGAGCCGTCTCTGCTGGATACACTGCTCTTTCAGCTCGTGGTACTTCTGATCTCTGAAGAGTTGCACTGATGAAGGCATAGCTCCCTGTCTAGATAAGATAAATATTGGCTTGTGCAAATTACAAAGGCTCCTTAAAGCCCCATGGATGATACCACTCATTAACACATATAACTTGTTCTAACGAGATTACTGATTTATTTCAAACAAAACAACCCAGATTATAAATTAGATTATGTTAAAGTAGTGGACTAGAAAACTATAAACCCCAAAAATATCCTATAAATAAGGAACATATTTTTGTCTGAACAGAATTCTTATCAGGAAACAGCCCAGACCAGGCACAAACCCATCATTTTTCTTTGTCTAATTGATTTGTAAGGTAACAGGGTGGGGCTTGGCTCTTAGTCTGCACCATGTGTGAAGGGCTGGACTATCTTTCTGTCCTATATTCTTCTGCTGGCCACTAAAGCTCTATCTACTCCAACTCTTACGCCTAAAAAAACCAAAACCAGATTTCCATGGTTCCCCATCTCAATTTAAGTGACAATATTTTGGCTGGTACTACTGTCTTTGAACTTTATGTTACATTTCAGGGAACTGAATTCCCAGAAGGAGCAAATATTTGCAAATAATTGGTGAGAGTTTAAAATATTTTAAAAAGCACAGCAACACTAAAACAAACAAACAAACAAACAAACAAAAATGCTCTCAGGACTTAATTCCCTGAGTCCTGATTATCTACACTGGCAAGTTTATATTTACAGCCACAGAGCTCAAATAAATTGCTTTAAAACATTTTACAATTGAGAAATAATAAACTACAGAAATCATTCAGGATAGTTTGAGGTTTGGAAGACATGAGGGATATTATCTCTCCTTCAAGGAGGGGAGTGGTGAGAACATCTGAACTTACTCTGTTTGGAAGCTCCTATGTGCCAGTTCTTCTCCTCTTCCTTCTGGACACAGGTCAGGGATTTATCTCCCCTGCCTTGAGTTATCTACAGCAATAAAGACAAATGCAAGTTGTCCTATGTCAGACCATAAGAATTAACCACCACACTGCTCTGGAGCATGGCAGCACATCATCCTGGCAGCCCACTCTGTGTCCAGCTGCAGTGTGCTCAGCTGGTGCTGCTTAAGCCACTTGCAGCATGAATTGGATGAGATTCCACACATTTGCAGAAAATTAAACCAGGGCTTTGCAGGTGTGAAAGTGAGCACAACAGGAGGAATGCAGAAGAGTAATGAGCAACACTTGGAAATGTCAATTTTATCATGGTCTTTGTTCTTCTGAGTGAAAGTTACTGTGGCCTGAGTAGTCTAGGGATGGTTTCAACACCCTCTCTCTCTCCCTTTTTCTCCCCTCCACTCACACCTCCCCTCTCCCCTCCCAGTAAATCAAATGGTAGTTCAGTGATGAGAAATGTTGCTCTAATACCTTCACTAATGGGAATGAGGAGAGTATTCAGGAGTGCTCTTCTACCCCTCTGCCATTCTTGCACCCATCTGCCCGTAAGTGTAAGCACGGCCGGATTTCTGCCAGCAGAATCTTACACAGCAAAGTGATAGAACAAAAAACCCCAGTTTATTCTTGATATTTCAATCAGCCAAATCTTCAAAAGCCAAATCATTCTCCATCCTTTGCCTTGTAACTGGCAAAACTCCAGCTATAAGTTTTGCATACATCAGGACTGTCATGACTTTGAGTCAAATCTTGATGCTGCTGGAATCAGTGGGAAAAATCCTATTCCTTCAGCCAGGCCATGGCTCTCCCTTCCAGAAGTGGACCACGAAGTCCCTTAGTGACTGTGTAATCCAGCTTCAATAAAACAGAACTACACTTAAAACCACACTGATGTTATGGCATTTTTAGCAAATTCCCTTTTTCTTAAGGGCTATTCCACAAGAGCATGGAGTGACAGGACAAGGGGGAATGGCTTCAAACTAAAAGACAGTAGGTTTAGATAAGATATTAGGAAGAAATTATTCCATGTAAGGGTGATGAGGTCCTGGCACAAGTTACCCAGAGGAGCTGTGGCTGCCCCATCCCTGGAAGTGTTCAAGGCCAGGTTGGATGGGGCTTTGAGTGGAAAGTGTCCCTGCCCATGGAAGGGATTGAAAGTGGATGGTCTTTAAGATCCCTACTAACCCAGGCCGTTCCATGATTCTATTATTTACTTTTTAATTATCTCCCCCCAAAAAAAAAAGTCACAAGGCATCTCATTTGGCAGGTGGCCTCCCAAGACAAGGCAAATAGACTTACTTCCCCTCACAAACCAGTTTTTAAAATTCAAGTACAGAACAACTTGTTAATTATACAGAGATAGCTCAGGATCCACAAAATATAGTTTGACTAATTTGGGTGGGATAGAAATTATTTCATGATAACTGGCATTCTTGCTTATTAAAAATTCCCCACAAGCTAACTAACAGTCTAAACCGAGCCTATTTGTTTTTAAAATAGCCCCTGGGTGACAAGGGTTCCAGCTGTCACTGCCTAATTCACTGAGGTAGGTCTTTAATGACCTCATTCCCCTGCCCTTTCTCTTGCTATCTGCCGTACTGGACCGTGAGTGCTTCCAGGATTAACACCCCTTACACAACAGCCAGAGTCCTGGCACTGCACAGAGCGTGGTGATAGAGCACAGCCCATGAAATCAGGCTGCTGTCTGCTCCCCCTGGGCTGCACTGGGCAGTGCTCACCGAGGGGAACCCTCACAAGGAGGAGGTTTCTCCTGCCAGGCTCCCAACCTGCCCCTCTCCACGCTCCCTGTGCCATCCAGAGCACACAGTGGAGTGTGTGTCTCAGGGACCCAGGCTCCTGGGACTGCCCAGCCCGGCTGCTTCCCATCCACCCAGGAGACACTGAGCTCTGGAGCTGAACTGAAGTCCCATCACCATCTGGAAAACCAGCAGGAACTCATTTTCACAGGAACCGAAAACTGCCCTTTTTAAGCCCAACAAAAGCATCTCTTTCTTGCTGGAAAGTCCACAGTCAAGAGTGTCGGTGCAGTTTCCATGCAACAGCCTGGTGGTTTGAGCACTGAGGATGGAGGACCACAGCTGAGCCCTCCTCTCCTGGGGTGTTCACCTACCAACACGTGGCCTGAGGCAGACAGAAGCACAGGATCCCGTTCCAAGATTTATTTTTGAAGCAGCTCCCAGTTTTTGACCCTCAGTTGATCACTGAAGCTCCCAAAATAAGATCCACGCTCCCTCCTCCTTCCTCCAAGTCACGGTGCACAGCAGCACAGCTTCCCCTGCTCCACACCCAGCAGCTTTACCCTGGTTCAGCTGGCACTCCTAAAGCACAGCACTGAGGAAACACTGTGCAGGTCTTGGCAGCCACTCTGCCCAGGGCTCCCTGCACTGCCATGTGATGCAGAATGAGCTGAGCACGGTGCAGTGAGGGCTAAGAAACACAGACCTAAAAATACCATACCCCAGCTCAGAGACACTCTGCTCGGCAGAGAGAAAGGGACCACTGCAAGAGAGGGACAGAAGAGAGAGGAAGAAGGAAAAAAACAACCCTGAAGAGTTCTACAGATCAGCCATTCCTATATTTTTTGTTTATTTCCTCAGTAAACACAATTACAGTTTTGCTTTTAACCTTTTCCAGCCTCTGAGCTGAGCTCCCCAGCACTTCTTGTCTCCAGGTGGAACAGCAACTCCACAGCTGCCCCCAAGGTTCCTGCAGCGCTTGTGGTACCAGCAGAAGTACAGGAGGTCCCACATCTTTCAGCTTTCAACCTCTGAGCCTTAAAGTCTTTCTCTGACCCTCTGTTTTTCCAGAGTGAGTTTCCTATTTTGACTGGAAAAAGGTTTTCAGTGGAAGAGTGAAGTTGAGTCACTGCAGAGTCCCCTCCTGAGCCTGACCATGGAATAATTTCATTTTTACTTACAGTTTATACTCAGAGATGCTTCCCCCCATCAGAGCCAGCCAGAGCACGACTAAATCACATTCAACACAGCAGCAAATACCAGCTCCTGGCCTTACGAGCAGCCATAAATTAAAGAGACATTCACTTGAAATCCAGGTCCTCACCAGAGCATTAAGATGAGATTCAAGTGTCACTTCAGTTATTTGACAGCTTTTCTTTGTGCTCACATTTTCCCTTCTTAACTTTTCTCTTTCCCGGCTGCTACACAGAAGATCCACAACAAACAACACTGACTTACTGTCCAGACAGGCGTGTGAGGGATAACTACACCCTCACTTCCCCTGGATTCACGCAATAAGCACACAAAACTGAACAAAAGTCATGTCCTCTCAACCCGTGTTTTAACTCTGTAACTGGGTGACACGCAGGGTGACAACTCAGGGAGGGCAGTTATTGCAGCTGGAAAGCCGAGCACACCCCCACAGCGAGCCTGTGTGTGTGCCAAGCATCCCTCCCACTGCCATTGCAGCCAGAGGGGTTCAGGAACAGCGGGACCAGTTTTGCCTTAACCAAACCCAGCCCTTTCAGTCCCGGAGGCGAACGCTGCCAAGCAGCTGCAGAGAACCCTCGGTGCCAGATGAAACTCCTCTGCAAGGAGGAGGCTTGGTGTGTTGTAACACTTAGCATTTTATCACACGCCCCACTTTTCTGTTCCAGCTGCAAAACTCAAAGGAATTTCCATGCACAGCACCAGCACTGCAAGGACAAAGTGCATTTCCAGCCAGCATTTAAGGTCACAGTTGGACACGGCTTTGAACACGAAACTGCTTTTCCAGAGGTGGATCCTGAAATCAAGCTGCACAAGTTCAGGCACACCCCAGCCTTGGGACCACATTTCTGCTGGTTCAGGAGCCCCCATGTGGGAAGACCATGGAGGGATGCCAGAAAGGATATACAGAGCATATGCCATGCTCTGGGGTGGCATCCCAGGCTGAGAGAGCTGGGGCAGTTAAGGCAGGAGAAGAGGCTGGGGAGACCTCATTGCAGCCTTTTAGTACCTAAAGGGAGCTTATAAAAAAGAGGGAGAGAGACTTTGTACACAAGCAGAGAGTGGGGACAAGCAGGAATGGTTTTAAGTTGAACGACAGGAGATTTAGATTGGATATTAGGAACAAATCCTTCCCTGTGAGGGTGGGGAGGCCCTAGCACAGGTTGCCCAGGGAAGCTGTGGCTGCCCCATCCCTGGAAGTGTCCAAGGAGAGGTTGGATGGGGCTTGGAGCAACCTGGGCTAGTGGAAGGTGTCCCTGCCCACGGCAGGGGGTTGAAACCAGAGAACCTTTAAGATCCCTTCCAACCCAAACCATTCCATGATTCTATGTTTTCACTCATTTTTAAGATTATTACCCATTTGCAGGTACCAAGCTTGCTTTTGTTTCATGCAAGCAATCTCCTTACCAGTAATAACAACAACCAACACCTGGTTTCCAAGTTTCTCTTTTGTACCCGCAGTTGTGGGCCCATCTTGACAAGACACAAAAACCTTTCAGCTCTGAACTCTGCTCCTCCAAAACTGACCTCTCCCCAAACCTCAAAGCCACTGTTTGGACTATGAAAGCAAAACAAGGACTCAAGTATTTCACTGTCTGCAAACATAGTTTAGTATTTTCCCAAACATCTCTTTCTCCAAACACATAGTTTACTTCAGAGCAATCAAGTCAGTAAGTGCCTCCAAAATTCAGCCCTGCAGCCTGAAGCTTTAAATTGCTCTCAACTGGTTTTCTGTAAAACCAGAAAAATGTAAAACTGCCAATTAAAGACAATTCCAGAGCTCCATCTGGAAAAGGTTATTGCCCTCTCTTCCTGTGCAGAATGATCACAGGTCCTTACAAAGCAGTGACTTTGCAAATCTGTATTAAGAGTGTGGGGCAACTTAGAGCAGTTGGAAACCTTTCACTTCACATACTCTATGGTTTCATGATCTTGGCTGTTCCACTGCTACTGTTGCATCTCTTCTGGAGATATTTACTCATTCAGATTCTTTAAACAACACACTAACTTCTCTGGGAAGCTTTATGGTGGACTGAGTGTCCTCTCTTCCTCTGCATAAGAGCCGATATAAAAGGATACAGTCAATATTAAATCCATGCCTTGTGTATGTGCAATTACATTAGTCAGAACATACTCAATTTGGATCAAATTTCCTGCACAAGATAGTTTAATAGTGCCCTGTCCAGTATTAATGACTGTGGTCCCACGGCTTCCCAGTTTTTTTGGATGGCAAAGTTATCCCTGATTGTGTGAAACACCAAGTTTTTATTGTGTGCTCTGGGAATACCATGACTGTGCAGCATTAGCCCTTCTTTCACCCTTTTTTTTTTTTTTATTTTTCAACAAAATAAGGTTAATTTTACTGTTTTATGGCCTCTGTAACTTAGTACTTTAGTAGGCATGCAAAGATTTCTCTTTTAGCTCAGCTCTAGAATTGGCTGCAGGAAAAAGACACAAGCATTTGCCTTTTTATAGAAACAGAAAGGTGCCAGCATTGTTCTGCTGTGCAGTTTTGCTACACTTCAAATTGAGAGAGGCAAACACATATTTCTGTCTGAGAGTATCTGCCCATATCCTATCACTTCTGTGAAGGAATGTGGGGGAGAGTGACTGGACATGAAAAACAGGACTGGCCATAAGCTGTTTGCTTTCAGAGACGGCATCAAGGCCTGGCAGAATCATCGGGCTATAAAACAAAGCTTTCTACAGTACAACTAATTAAAACACTTGTATTGCAACACCGTGGGGCTTAACCAGGCATTTCTTTCAGGTCTCACTGGGATTCAGGGAATTTCTCCAGCACCTGAGCTGTGAGGCAGAATGCAGATTACACTCTAAAGCCCATGCAAGACAATGCAGAGGGTGGGTGCTGGTTCAGGACCAAGCCTTCCATTCCCTAAGTTTAGGAGTGAAGCAAGAGCTCTACCAGGAACCTGACATTGATTTTCACAGTTTGTTCTCTCTCCCAACCGCTCTATCTCACCAGTTCCTGTTGAGATAAAATGTAAACCCATTCTGACCCTTCAGGATGGGAGTACAGGAGTTGTGGCTGATTCTCTGCAGCCCTTTGGGGTGTGAGGTGCTGGCTATCCATGAGCTGCAGCCTCTCATCCCGCAGCTTTTCCAGCCTTCAGGGGCAGGAGCTGAGGGTGTTGGGCACGACAGGTGGGGCAAACAGCAGCTGAGAAAAGCTCCCCTTGCAGGTGATGATGTCCAAGGGCAAACAGCTCCATCTGGCATGAGCAGAAGCAGTCCAAATTTGTAGGGCTGATGGCCAGGGGGGTGTGGGATCTTTTCAGCTTGAGAACTGAGCAAAATCAACACACATGTGATTGCTCAGTGGTACACTGCTGAGTGGTCAAAACTACTCAAAGTCCTGGCAGAACACACTCAGAGAGGGTAAACACTGGCCTGACTCCCTCTCTCTCCTCCTTGCCTTTCCTGTAAGAGTTTATCCCAGTGTTGTTGTCTGTGAAAAAGCTTTCTGACATTTTCTCTCTCCCTTGGGCAAAGGCAAAGACTTAAAAAGGAGTGGAGTTAGCAGCAGAGCAGACTTCTGCCTCCACCCGATTGGTTTCCAGGTGAAACCTTCAACTAAACGCTAAAATTCTTGGAGATCATTGCAAACAGAGATAAAAACCCCGTGGCTCCTCTCCTTCAATTCAACTAAATGCCACAAGGACCAGGCTCATCTTCCCCTGCCATGCACCCCTGCCCACGTTGGTCCCCAGAGGGAGCCCCACAGGTCTCTACCCACACCAAACACAGAATTACTGCTCGGCCAGTGCTCCCAGACAGAGGCTTCTGCTCCATTGCCCCACTGCCTTCAGCCAAACTAGGCTTTTACAACTGTGTTTTGGGTGGCTCCTGGTCCTGCCCACACATGACAAGTAAACTGCTGGAAGGTCTCTGGCACCAAGACCCCGAGGGGCTCAGCCAGAGGCACAAACTTGTCTGGTAGCCACCAGCTCTGTTCTGCTGATCATGTACTAAGTTAAGGGCACACAAAGCCCACAAACTATAGGCACATGATGCCCTTCACAGTTCAGACATTAAGCAGTAGCTTGAGATAATTTTTTTACACTGTGTCTCACCCTTAAGGACCCAGTGTTTTGCCTCAGTCACCAGTGCAGATGTTTAAGTCCCTTGCTAGGTCTTGGCCAGCATTCAGAAGTTCAAAACCCTCTGCACATCCGGACTGTGAGGGTGTCTGACTCCAGGAGCAGCAGGGTGATGGCACGGGAGGAACATGTGGCACTACAGACCAACACCAGCACAGCTACCTGCAGCTGGCAAGCAAGATTAAAAGGCTTTTCCAAACAACTGTGCACCAGCAGCATGAGCATGTGCCCCTTTTCCAACAGGTCTCAGGGGAAAGAACTCAGGGTGGTTGCTTCTGTTTCAGGACAGCAATTGCCACTTGTTCATTTTATGTTGAATTTTGTCTCTCCGGTGAAAGGAGAGAATCCTTGTATGTGTTGCACAGGATCAAACCTTAGCACAGCTTGATCCTTCAGCTAAACTGATAAAAACCTTCCCTTTGGTGAAGACACAAAAGTAGCTACGGGACACATTTTGATGGCAGACAGGATTTTCCAAAGTACAGAGGTGACTGCATGCTTCAAAAAAACCTACCTGCAGTGGCTTCCACTAGAGCCTCAGATGATCAGACACTTTTTCAATCAGCTACAGGGAGGTGCAATTCTAGCTTGAATTTTTTTTTTTTTTTTTAGAAAAGTAATTTAGTATGGTAGATGCCAACTGTTACAATTACCATTAATCCAGTCAAGTTACATATAACAAACTCAGAAGAAAATGCCAACAGCATTGTCACTTGATTCGTTCAAGCCAAGCTTTTGTGCTGGAACTGCAGGAAAGAACTTTCTTCAGAATTCCAGTATCTTTCCACTCTGCCTTTTCATAAAAGTCAGTTAAAAAAAAGATTGCAAATTAATGGTTAACTGCTTATCAGACCACTCCACTATTTTATATATCCACTTATCATTTATTTTAGACACAGCATAAAAATCTCTCCTTCACAAGAAACAAAACAACCAAAGAAAGTACAATTGCCATTTGAGTTTCACAATGAAAGAATCCACAGCGAGAACTGACAGTATTTTGGAAGATCAGAGACAGCATGGCAAGTGGAATTATAAGAGCAGAGATCAAATCACATTTTATCAGTCTGGTCCCTTTATTTGGAATAACTGTTAATGATGCCTGTAGAGAGAAGACTAGTGTGAACCTGGTTATCCCAGAAGAAAGGAGAGCACCCATGCTTTGGCAATAAATCCTGAAATAAAGCTTCGCTCAGAGTTAGTATAGAGTTGAGACGTGACTTTCTGAAAGAAATGCACATTAAACAAAATAAAAAAGTAATGAAAATCATTTTCTCACTGTGCTGGCTGAAACACCCATTCCTGGGGACACAGAGAGTTTTCATCCCGGTGATAAATGTGCAAATCTGGTGAACGGCAGTTTTCAGGTTGCCCCCGGCACTCACCTGGGGGAGGTCAGACCTTGCTCGGGGCACATCAAACTCCAGACTGGCTCCTGCAAACACTGATTCCCCCAAAGCCTTAACCTGGAATTCTCTGGACTGTACCACGGTCACGTCTCCGGCAGGGGTGGTGTCAGGATGACCCTTCCAGGGATGTCACAGGGACCCAAAATGCAGAGCCTTGTGTACTCCTGACAGACAAGCTGCCTGTTAGCTGTGACTGAGCCTGCAACTGTGAATGAACTTTTAAAGGAGGAGAAGAAGCCAGGCTGTTTGGCAAGAGTTCCACGAGGGGGATTTTTTTTTTGGTAGGGAAAACAGAGCAGATTAATGTGCATCACGAAAAAAAACTTACATTCCTTATTAGGCTGCACAGTGCTCCTCACTTGCATAAAGCCACCAGTGTCAATGCCTCTGCCTCTGCCTCTGTCCCTCCCGACACACCCGCCCGGGAGAGTCCCACACAGCTTTCATGGGATGCAGCTGGATGGGGCAGGAGATGCAGCAGAACCCAGCGGTGGCTTCGTGCCTAGAAAAAGGTACATTTCCCTGTGCTGTGGCAAAATGAAATGCAGGACACAAAGAAATTCTCAATAAGAAATGGTTTCAGCAAAATAAGCTTCTCTCCATTCTTTCCTCAGCTTTAATTTCCTTTTGGGCAAATCCTAAACATCTGGATTAATTTGACTTCAAATTTTTCTCATTTGAGGACAATAACACTCTTATTTTACCATTATGTGGCTTTTATTCATATTTTAGTAAATGTAGGCCAGTTTTTGAACAGGAACCTTTTCAAAATGCATTACAGAATTTCATCTATACCAGTAGTTTTAAATACTCTTCCCAATTTGCTTCCTCCATTTAATCTTCATTTTTGCATAACTGGTCATAAGTTTACAAATAAGTCCATTCCTTCTCCTGAACATTGCTATTGAGCAAACTTCCCATTTGCCTAGAGGAGTTTGGATCTCAGGGGATGAGTCACATTCACAAAACACCCTGAAGATGATGAAGTAGTATCACAAATTTCTGCACTGCAAAGTTTGCTGCAGGACTGTTTGCTCATTTACCCCAGTTCCTTTTGAAGGCACAATGAAATTTGGAGTGGAAGGTCCTGGCAGCTGCCACTACAGTTTTAACATTTCATGAGGAAAAAGGTCCTACGTACTAAGGCCACCTGTTTCCAATTCATGATTGAGTAAGCAGACCACAGTTTAAATCATCATAAAAAACTGATGCCCGCCTGTATATTACACACATGCTGTGATTCATTTGCACAGATGAGGGAAGAACATGAAAAACCCCACATGAGTACAGCGAAATTCCACTCTGAAAGCTGATAATAAATATTCCCAGCTTATAAAATGTGTTCTCACAGTATCTGCCTTTGCTTTGATCCAAGGTGGAACAAAACCAGGAGAACTGTTTGATAGGAGTGATGTAATCCAAGAATTGTATGGGATTTGTCTGGGCTGAGGAGGAGCTCTTGCTGCAAGTCTTGTCAGAAGCAGGAATTCCTTTGGACAGGCAGCAAGGTGAGCCACAGGAATGGCAACCAATGGCAACCAGACAGCTCTGGTGTCACTGCAGAGCCATGGCAGGAAAAGCTTGTTTTTCAGTGGGGCCATGGCTCACACAGACAGTGAAAGGACATCTCACTTATTATGGACAGTTTAACTTTACAACATCGTACCTGAAATCCTTGGATGATCCCTGCAGCCCTTAGCTTCCTTGTTGGAGGTGTCCTGAGCATCAGCATCATCACCACACACTCCCCTAGGCTGGTTTACACCCATGGCTTTGCTGCATCTCCCAGTGTCCCCAGTTTCCCCACTGCTCTCTTGCACAGCCTGTGAACATCCCTGGAGCAGTGCCCCACCACACTCTCCACTGCTCTGAAGCTGCTGCTTTCCAAACCACCCTCACCAGGCAGAGCAGAGCCTAGAGATGTAAAGACACGTCACAGAGCAGATGAACAACAGAACCTGTTCATTCACAAGGCATTACATCTGATAAACCCCACGTCTGTAGGTTCAGCACCTTGTGCTCAGAGCCCATCCATACCCCCATAAATCCATGCCTTCCCATACACTGGACACTTTGCTGTCTGCACAACTCAGCAGCAACTCCAACCACCCTCTAGTCCAGCCACAGGCACCACTCCTCACCTCAGCAGCAGAGCCCAGGCTGCAGCACACAGCCTGTGCCAGCTGAGCAGAGTCACTCAACTGCAGAGAGCACCCAGCTCTTACTGCAACCCAGCAGTTTGTTACTGGCTGCCAAAGAGATCAAGGTGCTTCTTTGTCCCAGGCCCTGCTTTCCCATGGGGCCATCACCAGATTTGGCAACAGCACACACAGAGTGGCCAAGGGCTTATCCAGGCAATGGGCAGCAGTTCTGGAGAGTCATTAAAGAGGTTTAGAGGTGTCCCAGAAAAAGGATGCTAATGGGAATCAGCATTAATTGTGGCTGCAAGAATCACAGAATCCCAGAATGGTTTGGGTTGGAAGGGACCTTAAAGCTTCTCTAGTTCCCACCCCCTGCCGTGGGCAGGGACACCTCCCACTAGCCCAGGTTGCTCCAAGTCCTGTCCAACCTGGCCTTGGACACTTTCAAGGATGAGGCAGCCACAGCTTCTCTGGGCAGCAGGGAGTAGAATAAGTGACCTGTAGTGATGAGACAAGAAGCTCTTCCTTTGGGAGCAACTTGACCCTTCATCACAAGTGATAAATACGGCACATTTTCCATTTGCAACTGGTTCAGCTCCGCTGGCACTGCCATATCTCAAAGATCTGAACAAGACAAATGCAGACAAGAGCATTACAAACCTGAACAACACCCAGAGCTGGTGGTAGCAGCAGAATTTGACCAGGCTGTGGTCCAAAGTACCCCATTTTGTTCATTCAGCACCTGCAGCATCCAAACCATCTAAAACAAAGAATTGCTCCTCTCTTCCCCCCCAGCCCTGATGCTACTCTTGTGGAAACACTCTTCACAAGAAGGATGTGATAGCAGGCTCTACTTCACATCTAGGGGCTTTTTGGTTTCAGTTCAGTCAGGTCCAGGTTGCTTTGCTCCAATAGCTGTTCTCATGCCTGTCAGACAGTCACTACTCCAAGGTGTCCAGGTGGCTTTGCCCCACTCATGACTATTTATCACAGATGCCTGAAATCTGCCCATCACCTTGTATACACAGTCCACTACCACGTCTTGTGTCCCACCAGAGCTACATTCATCTATTATTCACTCAGTTTCATGGGGTAGTTTATTAATAAAACATGAGGTGGTTTCCAGCAGAGATTCTACTTAAATCCTACATGTTTACTCCTACTCTTTCTAATTTAAGCAGTTTTGAACAGGGAAGAGCCCAAGAGGCAGAATCTGAAACCTAACCAAGATTCACCAAAAACTTTCAGAGTTGTGTATCCAGCTGAGATCTGATTCTGCTCAACAACAGCATTTTGAACCTGGATCGTTCATCTCTGGCATCTTGGGATTTTGATCATAGGTTCCTTCCTACTTTCTTCCACGGGAGGGCTTGGAGTAAGGGATCAGTCCCAGCCTCATCATTTGCCTGCATGAACCAGCAGAGGACTAAGTTAAAGGAAGACTGTAACAGGGCACAGAAGGGGCTGTGCTTTACCCCTGGCCACAGCTGCCAGAGCAGCTGAAGTGTACAGGGCAGGATTTATCCCCCAACAATCATAAAAAAATTCTAAACCTTGAGAAATAAATAAAAAAAATAAAATAAAATTTAAAAAGTTAAAAAAAAAAAAAAAAAAAAGGCAAGCACTGCCATCGCGGTCGGGGAGGAGTGTGAGGAGGCGCAGGGGAACGCGGCCCCCGAGCAGAGGCAGCCCGAGGGAATAGGCTCGGGATTTCCCGATGTTTGGGATCCCCCCAAAAGCGGGGCCGGGCCCTCGAGGCCGCGAGATGGCGACATCGCCCAGCGATGGAGGGGTGGGAAAGGAGAGGGAGGGGAAGGGAAGGGAGGGGAAGGGAAAGTAGGAAAGGCAAGGGAGGGGTAGGAAAGGCAAGGTAAGGAAGGGGTAGGAAAGGAAAAGCAAGGCAAGAGAGTGGTAGGTAAGGCAAGAAAAGGGAGGGACAGGCAAGGCAAAATAAGGGGAGTGTAGGGAAGGTAAAGCAAGGCATGGCAAGGGATAGGCAAGGCAATGCAAGCGAGGCAGGATATGGCCCATGGGGACACTGGGGCTTAAAGTAATTAAAAAAAAAAAAGGAAATAAAGGTTTTTGTTTGTTTATTATTATTATTATTATTTTTATTTTATTCTACTTTTGTTTTATACTATTGCTTTATTTATTCTATTATTCTTATGTTATTCTAATGTTGTTCTTATTTTGCTGTATTAATATATTTTTAGACTATTGTATTATTGTATTTTTCTTGTATTTTTTTTATTCTGTTTACTTGATACATGATGTTTATTAAATAAATAATTTCAGCTCACCCAATGGTACCAAGCACAAGATGGGAGTGGAGGTCTTAGGGCTGTTCCTGGGGCTCAGAACCAGCCCAAGAGCACCTTTTGGGATGGGGAGCCAGGGGTTGAGTGGCCATTCCCTGCCCCTGATGCCAGCTAGGGGGGGTGCTGTGGGAAAATGGGGAGGTGAGACCCAGGAGGGGAGGGGGGGGATGTTGGAGTCAAGTCCTGTTATCCCCCAAAGTGGGGACCCCATTTGGAAAGGTGTGACAGCTGGTAGAGATATTCAGGTGATGACAGTGACTGTTTCATGGCTTTATCAACAGCCCCAGGGGTGCAGTGAGAACCAGGAGCAGCTTCTAGCCAGAGGCAGTAGAAAGCTGGGAAACTGGAAATGAGGCAGCAGAGCTGGTTGAGACATAAAGATGGTAGAGGTGGGGGTGAAACCCTTGTGGGCTTGGATAGTGACTTTAGGGTTGGAGATGGAATTACTGTGGGACTGGAGCTGAAACCTCCTAGAGCTGGAGCCACAACCAAGTTCCTGCTGTGAGAACCGGGAACAGCTTCACCCAGCAGTGTCAGGAAGATGCAGAGCTGGAGCTGAAACAACAGAGCTGGCAGTGAAATCAA